TTCTAAACTTCTGATTTATGATACTAACAAAAGCAAGACAACATTCATGTGAACAGGTCTTTGAATGAAACCACCGGTTTGAACAGCCTTTCTTGACTAGCATGAGTCACACGAAAAATGCTTCGGTGTATAAATAGTATAATACCCTTGCTGATGAGTCACTGGAACGCAGAAAAATCATCATGCATGGGATGTAATTTTGACCATTTGCCTGACTCGTGCTACGTGTAGGATTGGCTCAAACAATGAGGATGGAACTGTGCTTCAGGACTACAGAAGAATAAAGAAGACATATTTTGACTACAAGGTGAAGAGGGCCAGCTCTGAACGCCAGAAACGTGGGGCCACTACCAGTTCAATTAGGTTCTCCTGTGGACCATTTTCTCCCTAGCAACAGGAGACATTAAGCTAAAGCAAAGCTTTTTGTGCTTCCTTTTTTGCTTTCTAAGGACCTCCACCCCTCAGTGACAGCAGACCTTGTCACTTTCTCTGTATCCATTATCTCAGTCTCTTATTGACAAAGGCATGCAAACTAAGGCTAGCCTTGCACAGGGTCTCGACGCATATTGTGCACCATTGTGAGAGGCACACGCGCATTGCACTTAAACCTCTAAACGAGCCTTTATAATTCATTCTTTAAAGCCATCACAACAAAACTGGAGATTTGACAAAAAACATGACACATGCAGACATGTTGGGGAACACTCAAAGTTTGCATTTCAATGACACCTCTGGGAAGACAATGGACTTGTTGGGCTGGTGTAAAGTACAGGAAAAATTAATGCTCAATTGTTCCCCTTCACCTAGCTGCAGTCATGCAAAGAGGTTTCAAAAATAATCACAGAAATACACTAGATATTATGCAACAATTCATTCTGGCCCTTAAATTTGATTGAACAAAGTTTCAAGAGTACAGATATTTAGTTTATATCACCAAGCCTGAATGTGTTCCCTGCGTTCTAGGTCAGAGTGTGTGTGCGGAACGTGGCTAAAAGGGATTGATTACAAAACACTAAGCAGAGATTAGCTCAAATCGATCAAATCACAAACTATATGATGTATTCATGCACAGCATAAAACAGTCAATATATGTTTTTTCCCCATTACTTATTTTTCTATATTACGCTTTTAAAAATAAAGGTTCATTGGCATCTAAGGTTCCATGTAAAACATTCTATGGAACATTCCCATTGCACAAAAGTTTCTTTATTGTGGAAAAAGGTTCTTTGGATTATTAAAATGTTCTTCACACTCAAAAATATATATATATTTTAAGAACTGTTTGCTGAAAGGTTTTTTGGGGAACCAAAAATGGTTCTTCTATATAAATCTATATCTATATAAAACCCACTTTCGAAACGTTTATAGGGATACAGCGTTTGCAATTTTCAGAGAATTTAATTTAATGCTCATGTTATAATTTGGTTACATTTGTGAGTTCATAAAAATGTAAAATATGCACGTAATTTTGTGATACTGATTAGGGCCTTTCGCACCGCTTTAGTTCCAGAACTAAATGTACAGTACTAAAGTACTGGGACGATTTTGCGCTAACTATTTCCCAGTACCATTTAAAGGGTTGCATTCGCACTGAGAGTGTGTAATAAGAAGTGAAGTAAGCCGGTCGACAGCGTCGTCATTTGTGCGGGGCGTTCAACAACAGAAACAAAGAAGAACAACATTAACAACAGGAGGATGGAGGACGCTGTGATCGGAGCTGTGTTTCTGTTGTGTCTCGCGGGTTTCACAGTGGACATGGAAAGTCGACGTATACGTAAAGCGATTGAAAGAATGGAAAGGACGACTAAGAATCTCCAACAACAACTGGCAGTGCTACATCTGCTACAAGTGCCTGCACTTCAGCGTCCGTCCATCTATCGCTGTTCTCCATACTTGCGAAATAAGTTGACACAATGTTTACAGTATATTTACACGGCGTTTTAAATCATGGCGGGCCAATCAATGTCTACTTGCGTCACGATTAGTACCAGTTGTGCCGGAGTAGGAGCTAATTTGGTTCTCGAAAAAGGCAGTCCGGTACTAAAATCGCACCCAGTTCCGGCGGTGCGAACACGCCAAAAAGTGGGTAGTTCCACAATTAGTTCTGGTACTATGAAAAGGTTCCCGCGGTGCGAAAGGCCCTATATACTGTTTGCAGGCCCCTGAATATTCAATTCAATTCAAGTTTATTTGTATAGCGCTTTTCACGATGCAAATCGTTGCAAAGCAGCTTTACAGAAAATGTTAGTTTCTACATTATATTTAGTATTAGCTTATCAGTGGTGACTATCTCAAGGTGATGTCCATATGGCAGAAATGTAGGTAAAAATCAAGCAGGTAATGTCCTGTAATCAAACAGACGGTGAACACTATTAACAGCAATCATTATATGTTGCGATCAAACTTATAGCAAAATTTGGTCGTTTTGTATGTTGTCTTCTGAGGGGTTGGCATCATCTCCTCTCAGGAATATAATCAAGTTGTAATTGCATTGCGACATGCTTTTATACATGATGTATTTGCAAATGCTATATTGAACTGATGTCAGATTGTATTGTTCGAATTACACCCCTAGTGAGGACAAAGCGGTCACTCCACTCCACACACAGACTCGGCCCTGAATTGCTTGATAACACTCAAAGCTTGACACTTTGGCTTCTTTAGTGAGGTTTTCACTGGTGGAGAAGAAATATACAAACACATATTTTTGTCTGAAACGCAAGTTAGTCGATAATAACTACTGTAAATAACTGATTGCGACATGCTTTTATACATGATGTATTTGCAAATGCTATATTGAACTGATGTCAGATTGTATTGTTCGAATTACACCCCTAGTGAGGACAAAGCGGTCACTCCACTCCACACACAGACTCGGCCCTGAATTGCTTGATAACACTCAAAGCTTGACACTTTGGCTTCTTTAGTGAGGTTTTCACTGGTGGAGAAGAAATATACAAACACATATTTTTGTCTGAAACGCAAGTTAGTCGATAATAACTACTTGTATACTGTAAATAACTGTAAACTGCTGTATGCAGTCGTGCAGTTGAACTGAATATCAGCATGGGTGATATTGTTTAACACTTTATAAAGCATAGAGCATGTCATGCCAATTTCAGATTTCTAGTGAGTTTCCTTCATATCTTTGCATTTGTTTATGACTTTGCACAAATACCGTGTAGATTCAACGCCTTAAATAAATAGAAGCATAGTCCTTGATGAACTATTCTGACTGGCGTCCGAGTCTGGAAAACTTTCTCCTTTATTATAGCCAAACTGTGTCCTGAGGCTAGTTTCTCCCCCTCACACAGGCCTTGAAGTGGAGCTCAAAACTGCAACTTGTTACGCTCCCCTGCCCCCCTTCCCGCTCCAGATCAAATCACTGCATTTACATGAGCATTAGCGCTTCTGAATGACAATCACTGTCCGATGACCGACTCTCGCTTACAATGACAAAGTACGACACTCTGAAACAAAGCCAGCAGCTGGGGGTGCGGAGAGGAGGGACGACGGAACACTTGTAACTATAGAAATTAAATCACGAGCTGCATCCCGTTTTAAAAGATGCAGTAACTGCCTACTAGCAATCTGAAATGCGGTAACGTTCATGTAGCTGGAGAAAGCGATTTAAAGGGACAGTTCATCCTAAAAATAAAATCGGTCATGCACTCAAACTAATGTTTTTCCAAACCTCTATAACGTTTTACTTCTGTGGGCACAAAAAAAAACATGTTAGGTGGAACGACAGTCCCACCGTTCACTATGATTGCATTCATTTTATTCATGTAATGCAAGCGAATGGCGACTGAGACTGTCATTCTCCATAACATCACTTAAGTTCCACAGAAATAAGAAAATAACTAGTATGGAACAAAATGAGGACGTGTAGACAGTATATTTTGGTGATTTTTGTTCTCTTTAAGTAGCTATACTTTAAGTCATAATTGTAAGTAATGTGTTAGTCACCTTAAAGACCTAACAAAATCTTGGAAGCAATCATTTTGAAGCCAATATGAGTCATTAAAAAGCAGTTTTAAAAACGACAGAAAATCAATATGTAGGCAGAGATTAACTATACAATTTATGCACTACCTACCTTGACGATTTACGTCCACTCTACACTTGCGCTCCAGATCAAATCACTGCATTTACATGAGCATTAGCGCTTCTGAATGACAATCACTGTCCGATGACCGACTCTCGCTTACAATGACAAAGTACGACACTCTGAAACAAAGCCAGCAGCTGGGGGTGCGGAGAGGAGGGACGACGGAACACTTGTAACTATAGAAATTAAATCACGAGCTGCATCCCGTTTTAAAAGATGCAGTAACTGCCTACTAGCAATCTGAAATGCGGTAACGTTCATGTAGCTGGAGAAAGCGATTTAAAGGGACAGTTCATCCTAAAAATAAAATCGGTCATGCACTCAAACTAATGTTTTTCCAAACCTCTATAACGTTTTACTTCTGTGGGCACAAAAAAAAACATGTTAGGTGGAACGACAGTCCCACCGTTCACTATGATTGCATTCATTTTATTCATGTAATGCAAGCGAATGGCGACGGAGACTGTCATTCTCCATAACATCACTTAAGTTCCACAGAAATAAGAAAATAACTAGTATGGGACAAAATGAGGACGTGTAGACAGTATATTTTGGTGATTTTTGTTCTCTTTAAGTAGCTATACTTTAAGTCATAATTGTAAGTAATGTGTTAGTCACCTTAAAGACCTAACAAAATCTTGGAAGCAATCATTTTGAAGCCAATATGAGTAATTAAAAAGCAGTTTTAAAAACGACAGAAAATCAATATGTAGGCAGAGATTAACTATACAATTTATGCACTACCTACCTTGACGATTTACGTCCACTCTACACTTGTATGTAGCCTATAATTGTGTATTTACATAACTTTTTGCTTTTAAAATCTTGGTTTTTCAGAAACATTTGATTTCCAAGACTAGTTTGGGTTAATAAAACCAGTGTAACTCACCATGAACTCCTTTGTTGGGAACATCGTTGATGTTGAAACCTTTCGAGCTGTAAGCAGTCCTGACTTCATTGCAGTTCTTTGCCTTCTGATCAGCCTGAGCCGACGCCAAAACCACCGCAGACATACATACAGTAAATACAGCGATCATCTTCATCGCGGACTGCTTGAGCAACCGAGCCGCGGCAGCAAAAATACAAGAGAACAAAACAAAAAGTGAAGTCACGAAATCTCTCCGATATGCACTTCTGATTTCCTCATGGGGAACACTCTTGTGGGGATGCGGCGTTTCTGCTCGGTCTTTTCTTGAGCAATAAAAGCCGGGCCTCTGAAGAGCACCGAGCGAAACAATCCCGCAGAGCGTAACAAACAGAAAGAGACCAAAAGCAACAACAAACAGTAAAGTACTCAAGACTTTGCGCTCTTCGTTGCGACTTTTTTTGAACGAAAAACAAGCAAATCTGCACTATGCACGCGCACACATGTTCAGTGTTGTAAAGGTGAGGTACTTCTTAACCAGTTTCTTCGGTTGAAGAGATCCGCGAAGCCGTTTGCTCTGTAGGAGGAGAAGCGAGAAAATTGCGATAAAAAAGTTTTAAGAAAGTTTTCCCCTCTCGCGCTGGTGTGCAGTCGGGACGCAGAGTGCAAATCGAGGAGTCGCTTGTGCGCGCGGCGAGATCTCAGTACAGAGTCAGGACTGCGCGAGCTGAGCTCCTGACAAAGAGAGCTGGCCACGCGAAACACGGGGTGGAGCATGGAGCACGCAAGAGGTTACATTAGAATATTACAATTTGCAATCTACCAGTACATATATTGTTCAAATCATTCCTGAACCGAGTAGATTCACAGATAGATAGAGTCAGTGTCTTTGTATTATAGTCATCAGTCACAGCTCACAAGAAGGGCTCTAAACATAGGTGAGAACTTAACCTCAGATGTGACTGCATGTCATGAAATGTGACACAGAACTGTAAGGGCTGTGGTGTGGCTAAAGTGGGAGAGAGAGGCCGAAAGAGAGAGACACACACATGGTGGAATCTCAGCCCGGCTCCCATGACGAGCAACATAACCGAAACATCTCACTTAAATTATGACAGTCTTCAGGGACAGCAGCCCGTCTTTCCAACAACGACAGGCCATAATTAGAGCGGTTTTGAACTGTGCATAAGTGTGGTTGTTTTGAACCTCCTGAGACTTGAGCTCTTTCGCATAGGATTTTAAACCACAGATATTTTGCCACACATAGGCCCCTATATCTGAGTATAATGCATGCAAATAATTAGTTTGAAGCAAAAATGTCATCTGCAATAATTATTATTCTTTATATTACGGCTAAGAAAGTCATAGATGTTTCAGATTGTTCTATATCGTTGCTATGTAGAAGTAAGGATGTCTGGTGTTCTCTCAAATGCTGTTAATGGGGAAATGGGGCTTATATGCAGTGCTTTTTCCTTAATCTCATTCGCATTGGTAATTGTTTTCCGTTCATTGTTAATCTTGAAGTGCATGAGCACAGAGAGCACACTTTGACATGTCTGGATGTGCTGGAGCATGTGTATGTTTCCATGTGTTGTTGTGGCTGTGTGTGTTTGTGTGTATGGTCTAGGGGGGAGCTCTTAGCAAACTGACATTCCAACTATTTTGTCCCCGCATTCCTCAGCCTACCCCATTCATACTGTGTGACCGAAGCTGGGAAAGCCAGTGGCCAATGAGAACCTGTGGAGGGGTTCTAGGGTCCGTTGATTGTGGATATGAGAGAGTGGACCGGTGTTGCACTCAATAGAAAACAAAAGGTGAGAGCTCTTTTTCCCAGAATACTTCGTAACGGACAGATCCACAGCTCTGTGAAGTTACTGCATGAAAAGTTGTGTGGTTAAGGTTGTACAAATCTGTTTCTTGTTCTTGCCGGTTCATCAGTTCCTGATTGATTACACTTAAAACTCCTGATATTAAACATTTTGCATGATCTGAAATATAATAAAATATAATTTTGTTAGTACATTTTTTAAATACATTTCAATCAGTGTTTAACATTCTAAATAAACCACAGTGAATCACACTTTAAAAAAGAATGAACTTAAATTTGTATAACATTTTTGTACCTTAAAATTATTTAAAAAGTATAGATGTGATGAAGTCACTAAATTAGTATATTTAAATGATTACTACATTATATTTCTGAAATAATATACATTTTAATTAATTAAGTTTACCAAATGTGATTAATTCAGTAAATATTTTATATATTTTTAATGATTTACTTTTAAATTACTACATACTTTTTTTCTTCTGGATTTTACCAACCATTGTCTATTGGTTGTATATTTTTTTCTGGCATCCAAATATAAATTTGCAAATAATTGGCAAACTATTTTAATTTTATAGTGTACTAGATAAATAATTCTTACTCAGATTAAAAAGAAATATAATGCTTAAATAAATTTTTGATGCATTCGTTTCTGTCTGGATCTGGGTTTTCTGTACATCTGACCGTGGCCATCAAAAACTATTTATAGATTCTGAATGCCCATAGAATAAGTACATTTCCATTTACAAACCTAAATTGATTGTGCACAATGAAATTGTGATAAGTCCTTCAAGAAGTGTGTTGCTCTAGCTTGTTTTAATTAACAAAATTGATGAAAATCAATTTTTTTGAGTGCAATATCATAGTGGCCCATTAGTATGGAGATGATTTTCACCCACAAAATCACAAAAACAGCAATAAACTAGTAACAATTTCTGTAGAACACAATTAGTCTGACTAACTGTGCCACCCTAAAAAAAGAAGACCAGTTGGTCTTAAAAATGGGGGATCCCTGTATAGCCACTGTATTACCCTAAGAAAACATTCAACCTGCGCATTTCAATGGGCCTGTTTGCCCATTCTTACTCGTCCATTAACATTCAGAGTGTAACCAACAGCCCTGCTCAGCCCCTCTGCTGCTCTCTCGCCTGATAACCGGCCTCCCTTCACTGCTTTAGGAGAGAAAAACCAGAGGACGCAACAGGATCTGAATCTGCGAAAAACATGAGTGTGAAAGAGCATAGCGGCCTTGAAGTCAGATTAGGTTAGTAACGAGATAAAGTCTGTTAAACACACCAGGGGGGTTGTTGTGTGTGTGTGTGTGTGGGGAGGGGTGACAGAAAATAAACACAGACTAAATAAGGTTTAATTTGCAACTGTAGGTGTGAGGCACCACAGGTGTGTCTGACAGCTTTTGGAAGCTGAGAGGAGATCATCAAGACAAAATGGAAATGAGTGGAGTTGATTATATGCTATTCATTTGCCTTCACTTTCTGTAATTAGGTCAACATGCATTTTTTGATACTACTGAGACACTGGATGTCGAAAAGACACCCCTCGACTGGTTGGAATGAGAATTGCATACAGATACACACCTCACACACTATAGTACGTAACATTAAAAACAGAGGTTTTATCTCCATGAAGACAGAATTTCACAAACAAACTGTTAAAACAACACCACAACTTTAACATTTTATTTGATTATCATTTACATGGAAACTTTTTTAATTAAAACACATGTATTTTATTGTCACAAATAAACAGCATTTGTACTCTGAACGTTCAGTTTTGACCTTTGAAAAGCAGTATTGACCACCAAACATCCTGTACACTTGGTTAGCCAGAAGAGCAGGTACAGACAGGACAGTTTCTCCATTAATTTAAGGTCTGAGTAACTGTACCCTGGTGTGAATGAAGGGCTCCATTTTATCCCCCTCCCCCGTTGCTCTGGTTATTGAACGGCTCAAGCCAAGCTCAAGTAGTCAAATGTGCCAAATGGCCCCTGAATGCACACCCACTGTGCAATCAGTACCAGTATAAACAGTATTACAGAATTCAGAGTTTAATTACGGCACTCAACACATTCCATTACTGGCAGACGCACGTCCTTCATTTAATGCATACTGTATGACAATAAGCTATTTGTTTCAATTAAACTGAGATTTTTGTATATCCATCACTCAGCCATAATTTGTTTTTAAAGTTTGTATGGTTTTTTTCTTTCAAACTGAATGTATTATGCCTTCTTGCAGCCTAGGGTTTATATTACTTACAAATGTACATAAAGCATATTACTGTAAATATTCAGTGCCTTGCAAAAGACCTTTAACCAAATATCTTTTTGAATAAATAAAGTTGTGATATTTTTATTTGTAAGCACTGAAACTCAAATGTATTTATTTTATATACTGTGAAATAAAAGGAAAGCTCAAATAAACAGAACCTCTAAGTTTCCACAGATGCAAAACTATTGCTGCAACCAGGACACAATTGCCTCACAACTGGCCTCTACTACCTGTGACTCATTAAAATAACCACCACATTTTCTGGATGAAACCCCCGAGTTAAGTGATCAATATCTAGGCTGTGAATGTGAAGGACAGCTGTGAAAATGAAGACAAAGGAGCGTTACAGAGAAATTTGAGCTAAAGTAAAGCAAATGTTTGAATTAGAAAATCACCACAAAACATTAAACAAGCGTCTGGATGTCCCAGTGGGCACTGTTGGCACAGTTATCAGTAAGTGGGGGCTAACCCAAACCATCCAGACATTGCCCCAAAACAACTATCCTTCAAGACTCTATGCATGAACAAGAGAGCTGTGAGGTAAGCTACAGAGAGGCCAGTGATCAGTGAAGGTGCACCAGTCAACCATATCAAGAGCTCGGAATATCACTGGCCTGTTGGGGAGAGGGGCACAAAAGCTCCCATTACTTCTAAAGAATCACATAAAAGCATAACTGCAGCCTGGCAAAAAACATAATATTGCCTGAGTTGCAATGTGTGAAGAGATTTCTTAGTCAAATGGGACTAACATATGTGGCATGATATGCGTGGTGTAAAACACTAAGAAAATACCATTCTCACTATGAAGTCTAGAAATCATTATTTAGCCTGCTACAAAACTAAACTTGAGAAGAAAATCTTTCTTCTCATCTTTCAGCAGAACAGGAGCACATGGTTGAATGATGTATCATGGTGATACAAACTCTACCCTGCAGAAAACTTGTGTCAGCATCGAATTTCAGCAATTGGATTTTTTAAATGTATTAGTGAATTATTAAATGTATTAGCCAATATTCAATATTTAAAGGGGTAATTCACAGCTGGCAAGATGGGCTTTTAATAAAACGTGGCTGTCTATGCAGTAGAAAGGCAAAACATTTTCTGAACTCAGTGCTACAACACTTGAGAAAAATAGCTGGGAGTTTTCTTTTTGGTAAAAACTCACACAAACACACATAATTCACTTTTGATTTCGGTGCTGCCCCTCTGTTGATCCAAGTGTCCATAGGCGGGAATATAAAAATATTACAGAAGTTTAACACTATAAAATAATTATTAAAGGGATAGTTCACCCAAAAATGAAAATTTGATGTTTATCTGCTTACCCCTAGGGCATCCAAGGTGTAGGTGACTTTGCTTCTTCAGTAGAACACAAACGAAGATTTTTAACTCAAACCGTTGCAGTCCGTCAGTCATATAATGGAAGTGAATAGGCTCCACGGCTTTGAGAGTAAAAAAAAAAACATACACAGACAAAACCAAATTAAACCCTGCTGCTCGTGACAATACATTGAGGTCTTAAGACACGAAACGATAGGTCTGTGCAAGGAACTGAACAGTATTTATATATTTTTTTTACCTCTGATCCACCGCAATGTCCAACTGTCCTGGGTTCACAACATCCGGCGCGTGACGTGTGTACGTGCTCTGGCATACTAGA